CCCGGCGATTATGAGGCCCTAATCTTTAGATTGTTTAGCTTATACCTAAATCCGGCACTGGTTATACTGATTAAAGTAACGTGACAGTTACTTTAATTTGAGGTACATTTACAGTTAGCATTATCTTTAACTTGATCTCATTTAGTTTAACTTACAAGACATTCTTACATGCAGCAACAAGAGGTCTTTGTTTTTTATATTAAAGACTTCACCAACTCGTAGACAACATCATTTGCCATATGGTTTATTGTTTAGTACTTTGTATTATGATGTGTTGTTGTTTACCTATATTGTTAATGATGAACGTTATCATTAAATATTTGTGTTTAGTCTCTTTCTTTGTAACATAACTGTCGAAACTCGGCGGAAAATTTGCACTTAAACCCGATAACTTCAAGGTATTACATGTAAAATATGTTCGATTAGTCTCTAACTAGTGAAATGTGTAATATGCATTATGGACTTCTATAAGCAATGCAAAACACTGAATGTGACTGTGATACGTACATGGACATTGCCCTGAAAGGGGTCGGAGCAAGTGCGGTTTACTCCGACCTTCTTGTAGTATCAACACTCTACATTCACAAACGACATACCACGGTTCGGAAGGGAGGAAGAGGTCTCAGCGCACCTGACTCTCCTAGGTCACAAAGACCTAAATTCCTGTCAGGAGGAGAGAGGGGTATTAGCAGGTCTAGCTTTCCTGTTTTGCTAGTTATCTGCTAGGCACCACCACTGCCTAATCTATGTCAATGACATCTTGGTATTTGATTGCAAGTTTGATGTGTGGTTTATAACCTGAAAATGGCATTCTAGTGGATAAAAAAAATGCAGTCTTTAGACTAAAGCCTAGAAAATGTTTACTCATGTGCATGAATATGTAATTTCTTGGCCATATTGTGCGTGGAAAAGGAATCTCCATGGATCCCGCTAAAATAGCAGTGGTGTGAGATTGGCCTATGGTATGTGGCCAACTTCTACAAGATTACCTCATCTTTATCTTCTTACTAAGGTTGAGATGCACATCAAATGGAACAGGAATGTGAACAAGCATCTCATATTGTTGGCATATCCACAACAGGATTATAAATTCCTGCTGGAAACTAACGCAATAACAGTGGAATTGGGGCGATTTTATCAATTTCAGGACAAAGTGGAATGGCACAAGGCTTCAGAAGACAGATATTGTACAACCAAAAACTAACTGCTTACAGATGTTCTCTTTGTGAAAAATTCCAATACTACTTGTATAGTAGAAATTGCACTGTTTGAGTAGACCATGAATTGTAGAAATGGCTGATAAACTTACAAATTCCCAAAGGAATGATAGCACGCCGGATAACAACAGATTTGATCAAGAAATAAATTGAGTGTTTAAAAACTTGAGTGAGTTTCTGTAGTGTGTGTGTGAAATAATAAGACTTGACAAGTTTAGCAAAATTAACACAATCTATATTATAATACTAACAAAAAGAAAATGCAGTACATACATACGTGCAAATGAAAAGACAGTCACTTTTACCAAATTGTGATAGAGAACTACAGCTTTCTCTTTCTCTCTCTCTCTCAGGATAGACTTTTTTCGAACTAATACACACGCTAATCTTAAAGTAATATTACTTTAAGAACTTCATGTAGGGTTGAACTAAAAAAATGTGCTGCAAGTCCACAGGTAAACTTGGTTTCTTTATCCAGTGGGCAACATTGGTCAACTGTAATACAAAGACATTGCCAGTTTGACCAACAAGTGATATTACATGTACTAATCCTTTCAACATGGATGCTGTATATTACTACAATATCCTCTCAGGCAGAATAGACATTATTTACTATAGAGAACAAAGAAACTAGAACACAACAATTTCAATAACATTAGGGACTAGAAGTTTAAACTAAAATTCCATTTGAACTAGATAAATGAATTTTAAAAATTCCTATATAACTTAAAGAAGGTAGAAAACATACCACATTGATTTACACTAAGTTTTATACATGTAGAATGTTTATACATGTTTTATACAATAGAGTTCTGTACATACAAAATAGTCCCACTTATGAGTCTCAACATACACAGATAATTTTATTTTCATAAATGATTACCTTTTCTTAGAAAAACTGAGACTAAATATGTATCTAAAAGTAGTTAGCCTAGCACTCAGTGGATGTTTCGTAGAGAACTATTCACTATATTTAAAGGGGAGAGGAGCTTAGGACTTTACTCATCATGGACGATATGTAGCTGTCTAGGTTACTTAGAAGTTCAGTTTTGCTTTATTTTTTGTAATATGAAGGTGAGATAGTTAGGAGTCTTCTTCCCAATAACGGATATTTGAGTATTTATGTAGAAAAGTGTTTTGTTTTTTTTTAATACGTGGCACTCTGTATGTTTTTGTAAGAATATACTTTTGTATTTTTTGTAATTCCAAAACATGTGCTTTAGAAACATTTAGCCATGCTGGGGAACCATATCTGATGACAGGACATATATACGTATTGTAAATTTTATGTCAATTAAGGTTAACTTTAAATCCAAAACTATAAACTGGCGTCATGATCAAGGAGCACATCAATTTTCTTTGGTTCCAAAGAGAATGTACACGTCACATGGACGAAACAGATCTTACAATGAATCACACTCAAATACAAATAATGAGAGAAATAATTGAAAATCAATGTAGATATTTTACAACAAAATAAAAACCCTTCAACATACATAAAACAATGCACAACAACATAATCACATCAACTAAAAATCAAAAAGAGAGGGAAAGAAATTAAGAAAATGCAGAGTCACATTGTTCATTTTAAGAGCGACATACTAACAAAAAGTAATCACTAAATTAAAATAATTAAATAGAAATAAAAACAGAATAAAAATCCTTTAGAACTGATCATATTTGAAGTTAACTTCAGCAAAGATAACCCCTCTATTCTAGAAAGGAACAGTTTAATATATTTTACATTCTGATCATTTTTAAATACGGCAAAATATTTGTTTTGTTGTTCAATTTCGAGCAAAGCTACTCGAGGGTTATTTGCGCTAGCAGTCCCTAATTTAGCAGTAAAAGACTAGAAGTCATCACCACCCACAGCCAACTCTTTTACCAACGAATAGTGGGATTGACCATCACATTATAACGCTCATACGGCTGAAAGGTTGAGCCTATTTGGTGGGACGGAGATTCGAACCCACGACTCTCAGATTGCGAGTCAAGCACACTAACCACCTGGCTATGCCAGGCTCATAGTAAAATGAAAACTCTTTATAGAATGAAATATATAATGCATAATGACATAATGCAAACAAAATACAGAAAGATCAAACTCTTTCACAAAGAAAAACTAATTTTAAAAACACCAAATAACACTTCAAAAAATTAACCATTTCTGATTTTAAACACACATGCGCATAAGCGAGTTGTAGTGCGTTAAACATATCAAATAAAAGAAACAATACATATAAATAATTTTTTAATCTCTGCTCATTCATACATATTGGCATACGTGAAAGAACAAGGACGCCATAATTATAAACATAAAAACACATATCCAAATAATGAAAAACCAAAAATGGTACCCACTTGCAAACAAAACATACAATAAAAAACTCCAAATACATTAATGCGCGTGTAAAACAGAAGGGACTCTCAATTAAGCACAAAATATACATTTTAAATTACTATGAATTAATCCTGTACAAAGTGTACATTCAATCTGGAAAGTTGTTGAGGTTTCACTCCATCCACCTTAAACCCACTAGAAAAGTTTCCAGTGTCACCCCTTTGTCTTTTGATTCGAGGTTATTGATGTCTTGAGATCTGTTTGGGCCTTTATGAGAATCCGTTCAGTAAGACATCGACTCTACCACCACTAGACAAGAAGAATTGCATCTTGCCTCAGCCGACCTTCTTCACAGTTTCCTTCTCTCTCAAAAATCCTTTTAAAAATTATGGCCAATGTTTACAATCACGATTATAGTCACTGCAGCAAATTATGTTTCGGAGTACCCCAGTTGGGAAGAACAGTCAAACGTAATGTTGCTTTCTCTTCCTTCAAACTAAATTACTGTCACGCTTAGTTTATTTATATATATTTTTAGACAAGCAGAATATTATTCGAATTTAGTGGTGTTTGGTAAGATTTCTGAGTTGTTTAATTGTATAAACGTGTTTAACTTGTACAGTGTTTTACAGGCTGTTTTCATTGTTCGGTTGAACTAAAACAAGTTAATGTACAAATGAAAGGTAAAGAATGTTATATATCTAATGTGAAAAATACATGCCTAGAGACTTTGAAAGAACACTAACAAATATAGTTAAATATTTAAAAAAGTTAATTAAGTTATATTTATATATATTTTAAAATGTTGATTGGGTTACCTAGTAGTGTTTATACGAACTATCGTAAGCAGATTTTTCGTGTTCACCGTTCAGTAAGACAAGCAGAATATTATTGGAATTTAGTGATTTTGGTAAGGTATTTGAGTTGTTTTATTGTATAAAAGTGTTTAACTTTTACATTAGAAGTTTTGGACAAAACTCCCTGTCTGTAACTGTATTTCACTCTTTAGCGGAAGTGTTCGTAAAAATTACTAAAATTTAATTAAAAAACAAAACAAAACTAGGACTTGACTATAGGTCTGTGAATAGTAATATGTACTGATATTGATAATTTATAGTATCACTAGTATTTATATATAGGCTAGGCTACCATGGTACTACATCACATAATTGTAACTTCAAATTTAAGTGTGATGTACGATGTAGGTTTACCAACTATCCGAAAGTATAAGAAAATCTTGTTTATTGTTGTTATTTTCGTATGCTTTTAGTTTTAAGTTTTTTAACAGTTTATGGCAGCGACATGTAAGTTGTACTTGTAGCGTAACGGTACATGCTTATACTAGTTATGCAATTTCCCCAAGCTTTATCGATTGAAGAAAACTATTACTGTTAGGTTGTTAATTTTGAACTTTTATGCCAAATAGTGTTCTTACATACAGTAATCTTAAATACAAATGTATTTGAACTCATCAGAATACTTCTAGTTCTAATGAACATAGTTTATTCTCCTCAATCATCCCCGTTTGACTGGAAATTTCTAGGACTAACTGTAAGTTGACAATATTCTGAGTAAGTAAGCTGTAGCGTTTCATTCGTGTCGGAAGAATTCCTAGCTAATATACTAAGCTTATATTGTAAAATAATCCTAATAATAATAATTGAAATAGATATAGTAAACATTATAACTAATATAAGTAATACAGTTATAGTGTTAATGAAAATAACATTAAATAAAGAGTAGTGAATTACTTGCAAACATGTAATATATATATATATAAACAGAAGTAATTTTATTCATGCAATGTCTCAGGTTTCATGTTCTTGAAGCACTTGACATCAATATGTACAAAACTAAATATAATCCCCTCTAATAATATCTTATGACCAATGAAAAACCCATTAAATGTAACACATAAGTGCAACAAGGGGCCTATTGATCCAATGAGACTGTCCCATCCACTTCAAATATACCAAGGCAAATCCAGACCTGATATTTTAAAATTAAGTATTTATTGAACCTCAGATTTACTGCATTTACCACTTTTTAAGGCAACCTATTCCAAAGGCTAACTACCCTGTTAGAAAAGTAAAACTGTCCAACTTTAAGGTATCTTCTACCCTGCCAAAATTTGTTCCCTGTTGCCCTATTATTCTTGATTCATCTAAACTGTTAAATGCCATAATAATCTTGAACACCTCAGTAAGGTCCTCTCTAACTTTTTTAGGTTGTTGGAATAATAAAAAATGGTAATAATTGGAAACACTTATTTCAAATAAATGTAATTGTAATTTTGGTTAATCACTCAGCCATAATGAGAAATACTTTTTGTTTTTGTAATTCACTCATTGCTATTATATATAAGGGAGATATTTAAAGCTTTGTTTCAACTTTAAACTCTGACTAGTCTGTGTGGGGTGTAAATCCAAACTACATGGGAAGTAAGTAACGTTAACATGATTAATGTCTTCTTGTTTTTCATGTTGCTATAGCTATACCTAGAGCTCAATTAGTTTTGATTTTTCAATAAATTATTTTTTTACATAATATTCAAATATTACTTCCAAGAAAAAAACCCAAAAAAAACAGTCATTTTCTAGTCAAAAATACAGAGGTTCTCCGAAAGTAATTCTTATAAAAATATTTTGGATCTTGTGTACTTAAGATTGGTTTTGTAAAACCTGATTCATTTATGCTGGAACTTGTATATTATTATGCCTAACATTTTCAGTGTGTTTTATGTCGTGTTATTGGTGTAGTTATGCAAGGTTTTTTGTTTGTTTTTCCATATAGCATTTAAATGTCCAAATCTAAATTGTTTTCTTCAGAACTTGTAATCCAACCCCCAGTGACACTTAGAATTATATTTGTAGGTAATTGAATGCTCTGTAACAATGCTATTCTCTTTTCTTAAGCAATGATTGTTTTTAACAAACAATTAATTTATTTAGTACCAAATATCCCAGTTTTTTGTAATAATGCTATTTTCTTTTTTCTTTCCACTCAACTTGACTGACCGATTGGTCTTGCAGCACTTCTATCTATACTGGAGAAAGTTTTTTAAAGAGCATGTACGAGAGTAACGTCCAATAGAAACCCAAGAGTTTTATTTTTAGTATTTTGTAGTCAGTGTCACAAAATAATGTTTATTTTCAGCAACAAAAATTTGAATGTTTTAGTACAGTAGTGTTGTACAAAACTGTAGAGAGAAACCTGTGGAATTATAATCATATTTTCAACTTGTTGCTGCTTTGTATGTTGCATTTATGAGATATTTTTTTATGAGTTTACGATTAAAAAATGAACTTAATCCTAAATTTTTGTACCTGATAATATCTACCATAAATGAAGGATGGTTTGGAAATGTCTATAAAACTAAAACAAGTTGGAAATAAAACTATTAGTTTCATGTGTAGGGATATTTTGCCATATGTTCTGAATTTTTTAATTCTTATCCTGTACTTGGAATTTTGGTGTTATGACAGTTAGAAGAAAAAATGATGGTATTTTTAGTGTGTCATTGAATCCTAATTTAGCCCATGTAAAAAACAAAAGTTAATTAGGCAATTATCTTTGACTGGAGAGCACTTAGCAGGGCACGTAGTTTTTATTGTATCTTCGTTGTTTCTCTGAATTTTTTTCTCATGAAACAATCTACAAATTGTATCCTGATTTACTAGCTTCCATAGTATGGAATTAATCTTTTGTTTTGTAAATATTCCAAATTTTCTTTAAAAATCCTAAAGATATTACATGTAGAAATACCATAGATACACAAATGCAAGCATGTCTTTTTACAGCAACCTTGTAAGCATTTTAAACGTGGTATTCATAAATATTAGAGTTATAGTTTCCATAAAGTTATACCGTGTAATTTAATACACTAATATAAAACTATTTCTTGACTATTTTAAGATAAATATATTTGAGTGAAAAATGCTTAGCTTTCACCGGGCATGCATGATTTCATGTTCTTGTCAGTCTGTCATGTTATTTTTATTAACTTGAACGAGTAATAAGTATATACGGTTGGATCAAATACTAATATGAATGTTCACAACGTGGTGGACAGAAAATGTGACAATACTGACCATAGCACCCTATCGTGTGAGAAAAATTGATTAGTAGAACGTAATTGATTAATTAGCCAGCTGATTAATCAATTAGCAAATTTCTCTAATCTAGCAGCTCTACTTAAAACTTGTACAATTACAAGGAAAATAAAATTATCACTAAATAAAAAAACAAATAGACTGGCTACTAAACTTGTAAAAAGGAACCAAACAAGATAGGAATGGAAGTAGACACATGACTTGATCAACTAATGATCACGTAGCAGACTAAACTGTCTGGATTTTATATGGAGAATAAAATCCCTACATTTTATCTTTCAAAAGTGTGGTGCTTGAATAAAATCTCAGCTTTCATCATCGTAGCTTTCCTTTAGTTGACTTTAGAATACTACTTTTTTACGATTGAAGATTCTGTTTGTTTTGCCAGTAACATAGGGATTTTATTCTCCGTGTAAAGTCGAGACAGCTTAGTCTGCTATGTAATCATTAGCTGATCAAGTCATGTGTCTACTTCCATTCCTATCTTGTTTGGTTCCTTTTTTCAAATTTAGTAGCCAGCCCTACAGCGTATGTGGGTCACTATATTATGGAGTGTATTCTAAAGCTTTATAAATTTTGCATGTAATAATAATGAAATAGGTAGTCAAAGATCGTGTACTGTTTTGCTCTATCAAATGATGATAAAATTATAATTACTGCTAGAACTGGGTAGATGCTAGGCCTGTTGAAGAAAGATGATGAGGAACAAAAAATAAGAAATCTCGATTTTGGCTGTTCTCCTGTTTTCAACTTTGGGATGTTCTAAATAGGTGAAAAGTATTATATACACCGGAAATAGAGCTAATGCACCAGGTAGCTCTTCATATCTAGCTTCTGATGACCTGTAGAGAAGAAAATCCAGATGTTTTTGAATTGCTTCATAACAGGCGTCCGTGCCATCGTTACATAGAGTGCTAGTACGCTCACTGATATGAAACTTTAATTCTTTATTTTGGGGTTTTGGAACAACTAGTTTTGTTACTGAGGGATTGCATATCTCTTTAGTAAATAAAGTTTAATTTTGCAGTAAATCAATCATCTGTCAGTTCTAGATAAATTCTTGTAAATGCTCACTTCTAAACTATTAAATTACTAAAGCCATTTACTTACTGCTAATGCCCTCGTTTCTTACAGTCTCCGAGTTTATGTTTTCAGTATTAGGTATAAAAAGGGAGTTCAGGGAGTATCATGATTTTTTGTCAATACACACCAACAAACCACAACAAGTAACCAAGTGAAACTCTAGAGTGACCAACATTATTAGCTTTGGATTCCAACCTTATGTATGTATTGTTAACATTCAGGTTCTACCATTGGCTGTTTGCAAGTTTTTTATTGAACACATTGCCAGTAAATAAGAATTGTTACTATATTTTTCAGTAGGATTCAGATTAATTTAAACATGAATTGTTACTATATTTTTCAGTAGGATTCAAATTCATTTAAACATGAATTGTTACTATATTTTTGAGTAGGATTTAGATTCATTTAAACATGATTCGTTACTATATTTTTCAGTAGGATTCAGATTCATTTAAACCTGAATTGTTACTATATTTTTCAGTAGGATTCAGATTCATTTAAATATGACTTGTTACTATATTTTTCAGTAGGATTCAGATTCATTTAAACATGAATTGTTACTATATATTTCATTAGGATTCAGATTTATTTAAACATGAAGTTCAGAGTTTGCTGACTTTTCATGAACCTTGTTGTTGTATAATATTATATTTTAACTTTGTAATTTTTCTTTTTTCTTTAATAAATAGGTATCTTAGGTGTGAATGACCTACCCAAGTGTACGCCAATAACATCTTTATGAAAGATTAAATAGAAAATACATGGCACTTGTCATCTTCAACACAAAGTCTGCCACCTCTAGGTCAAACTGCGAGACATACTACAATGTGTCTGTAACCTCCCTGTTAAATTGAGTGTTATGACACTTAGCTACTTATGAGTTCTGTATTACTTTACTTAAACTTCTATTGAAAAACTTTGCTGTGCAATGAATTCAACAGTTATGACTGTATTAAAAGCCTTGCTAGCAAAATTTGGACGAATATTCCTTGTAATCTTTGGGGTTGTCCGAAGAGCTTTCTGTTGTTTTAAACGAAGACGGCGACATTCTGACACTGTTCTTCCCGTGACTGTAAATTCAAAGCATCAGAGTTCACCATTAAATTTGCAGGTATTTATGTGTTGATATATGAATGTTTTTTTTTTAGTGCGGTAATTGTTAAAATGCTAAGGAGTCAAGAGAAAGATTGTCTAGGATAATCAAATTATATATATTATATACTATTTAAACATAATTTTTAATTTAAATTTTGAAAGAAGGTTTTTCAAGATTGTTTATATCTAATCTTAAACATTGTTGCTGTTGAAAGAATTATAAGTAGCAAGGCAGGTAAAAACAAACAGAGAGAATATATAAATTACTTGTTTTGATGGTAGGTAACTTGGGTATATAACTGGTTGGTTATAAATTACAAAGCAGGATCTTTCAGACAAATAACATTACAATCAAAAATATTGTTAAAAGTGAAAGTACTGAACTGATGAAATGAAAAATTCTAATCTTGATAAATATATTTAATTATCTATACTGATGGCCAGGTTGAATTTTTGATTTTGCTCTGGTTTCTTAGGTTACTTTGATTGTAAGTTATTATTTCCAAAGATACAAGATTACTCACCCACATTGTTATAAATTATACTTTTATTTTGTTTCTTTCGTTGGATAGCTCCGTAAGTCGTTCAACTATCGGGAATAATATATTTTAATACTGTAACAAAAGTCGGTAAGAGGAGCACTTGTGTTGTGGAGAACGAGGAGTTAGGTATTAGTGGGTAAAAACGTAAAACCTTGTAAGTTAAAAATCTAATTAAACAACCCTTATCAGCGTATATTGCTGAGGCTTACAACCAATTAAAAATACAAACTGCAACTAATTATGGACAAAAATTTTAAATTTGAACCTCCTATATTTTTTATTTTCTGAGAAAAGTATAAATTTCTTATCCCCCCCCCTTTGAAGAGCCCCTCCCATCTTTTCACACATTTCCAGCAATATTTAAATTATATCCATTTGTCTGATGGACATATTTGTAACCAATAGAAAGAGCATATTCTAACGTACGGGTATCTTAATATTGTTTATATTTGGAGGATGACTCTTTGGATGAATATAATCGGATTTATCTGAATTGACATTTATAACCATTTGGTGCAACAAGCAGATTTCCCCAACTTTGTCAAAAAACTTTTTATCATTGTGGGATAATCAGGATACTCACACATGCTTGAATTTCCTGCCTTAGTACCATGTGTGCATCACCGAGCAAAAGTGCAACTAGTGGATTTTGATATTGTAAATGTTCTATAAAAAGGTTAAATTCCAAATTTAATTTGTTAGTGGATAATTGACACTTTTCGAGAACCAATCCAAAATTTAATTACACACTTAAAGAGTTAAAGGTGGAAGTTGAAAAGAAAAGCTTGGATTTATGTTGAGTAGTCATTGTTCTGAGCAGTAATATAATTTTGTTTTAAATCTATTTATAGCTTAGTTAGACAGCTAGATAAATGATGATAGTTTTTGGACATTCTATCCTAATGTTTGAAACATACTTTTTTTTGTTTTGAAATACGTATTTAAAAGTTACATAGATTTTAATTGTGAACAATCAACATAGTGAGAGAAAAGTAGGGTTACTGAACTAAGTGCAAAAAAAGGCCTCAATCGAAAGTAAATGCCACATTTTTGGTTTTTATTTATTGGTAAATAGTTTTATAATAAAAGTAATGAAAATGTAGAAACTGTAAACTTTTAATCACACTAGCGTATTTAGTACTGGCACTGGCTCATCTCATGTCATGAGCTGTTACATAAACATATAATTTATTGTTTCATGTGTATGTCAGGTATAATGACTGGCAATAAAATTAAATCTTTAATAGCTGAAATTGTAAATATCTTTAAATTGAACTGGTGAGAAACGGTATTATTTATTTGATATCATACATTCCAACTTCTCTTCACTGATGATTTTACTACAGTTTAGTGTTATGGTAGAGGCAGAAAAAAAAGATGAAATATGAGTTTTAACTCTGAAAAAACTTGATATTCATTTAGTAGGTTATACAAATGACAGTGTTGCTTGTAGGACACGTACTTTGTGTACTTATGCTATTTTTGATTGCATACTAGTTCACGCAAAAAAAAAACACAGAAGTACACCCTTTTATTTTTTTTGTGTGTATGCCCACCCTTTCACAATGTATTATGAATGACTTTGTAGGAGTAGGACTGACGTCCTAGTTCGGACACCAGGTGAACATGTTTCGGTACGATTCAGGATTCGAACCCGCGACCCTCGGATTGCGAGTCGAGTGCCCTAATCACCTGGCCATGCCGGGCCAACATTGTTCTAAAAGTTTTGGAGTGGGGCTACTAATAGATATCTGGTTTAACTCGATTAAACAATATTCCGAGAGGCTTGAGTAAAAAGAAAATAGAAGATGAACGTGTAGGCACGTAGTAATACCTAGTTCGTGTGTATCTGAGAGTTGATATTAATGACTGAAATGTGCTATTAAGGCACTGTAAGTATGACTTTCAATGTTCAAAGTATCTGTCTTAGCTTATGTACTTTATTCATACTATGGTTATTGCCAAGTATTCAATTACTAATTTTCTGTGCTTGTTTTTTTTTTAGGCACCAGAATTGCAGAGCTGGGAAGTATGGGAAGATGACATGCCAAATTCTGTGAGAGTTGAAAGAAATGCCAGTACATCAGGTTTCACGGATCAGGAACATGATGTGGATTTTTTTAAAGATATGACACCAGAAATTACCAAACCAAAGAGAGTAAATATGCTTCCTTCTTATTGTAAACTTATAAATTGAATGGAGCAGCATGGCTCGGTAGTTTCGTGCTTTGGATGACTGAGTTTGAGGCTGGCCCATGTCGTGTTGTTGTGTCCTTGAGCAAGACACTTTACCCCACTTGTTCCAGTCCACCCAGTTCTAAGCTAGAGATTAACCTGCGATTGGCTGCCATCCCATTCAGGGTGAATAGGTGACCATTCTCATCCACTTGTGCCTCTTGAAACCAGAGTTCAAAAGTACTGACCCCTTGTGCCTTGTAAAGGCAAGGATTTAACTAACTATTAAATTGAAGAGTGGCAGTATTACAAGATAGATTAAATGTTGGGATGGCTAAGATGAAGAATGGCTGGGACCCTGTGTAGCACAGATGGTAGAACACTAGCCTAATGGTTCTATTTACACTGTATTGTGAAGACTTAGAGGATTATCTGTAATCTTGGGTAGTCCAGGTAGAAGACTTTATAATCCCTACTCAGCTCTATTTATGGGCCTCTTTTTTTTTCTCAGATATTTAAATTGATAAAAGCTGCAAAATATTGTATAAGTTTTAATTGTTCAGTCCATTTAAGTCCAATACTTTTCACAAGTACTTTCCCAGATTATAAGCAGTATTTATATTAGTAGTAGGTCATTGCTGACACGAACTGATGGTCTTTGCTTAGTTTATCACTTTACGTCATTTTGTTTAGTTAAGTGTAGTGCAAATTTCATACTTACAGACTGAGGAAATGAGAATATTCGTTATAGAAAAAGGAAGTTATATGGGCCTCTAGCACAGTCATTGTTGAGCATACTTCGATGACGGTTTTTAAATGAAGATACTAAAACTTGAAGCAGTTACATTACAGGTTGTGGATGTGTTAAATGAATTATGTTACATCTAGATTGATTTGGTAAAAGTTTTGTAGGCATCTGATTCTATAGGAATTGAATTATAAAACACTCATTTTTCATATAATGTCAATTTAAAGAGATTTCTTGTTACACAGTTCACAGCCTTACAGACACACAGTAGAGGGGGTTAAATGACAGAAGGTTTATTAAATACGTGTACGGTGAACTGAAAAAAAGTCAGAATCAATAAAGGAAAGAATTACAGAAACATAGATCAAATTAAAAATAGAAACAATAGAGCATTTAACAATTTTGAACAATTTTAGTCAGAGGATATTTGCATAAAGAAATTACAGCTGTTCATTATGTTGTCTACGTAGAGCAAGTTTTTCATTTGGTAAAATCTAAGTTATCGGATCTTGTTGTAATTATTTTTTAGTAACAATAAGCTGGACTGTTGCTTATTAAATTATTCTGTTCATTTGTAAAAGAATGTAATAGTGTATAGTTTCGTATGTTACGGTGTTATCTGTCAAGAGATAGTAGAACCTGTGGCCTTATGGGTCACATTTACAGGGCTGTTATAACGCTAATTTAATTCTCGAGTTACTATTTCTCACTCATTAATTTTAATGATCATTACCACTATAATGCTAATTTAATTTCTTTGACCAAGTTGTGAATGATAATTAGTAGGCTTACTTATTTGTGTATCATAATGTAAATCAATACCAAATTTGGGGGCTGATTTTGGGGAATTTGTGTAAAAGTGTTTTTGAAAAATTACCGTGTTTCCTAAGGGGGTTGTTTTAAAAATTATACTTTTTTTTGCAAACCTCGCATCATTTGGTATCACTTAGAAGTTTGTGAGACCAGCAGTTCAGGAGAAGGGGTTTGGGAAAAATCCCCTCCACCCCCAAGGGGTGGGGTGAAAAATTTTACCTTTGTGCAAACCTAGGGACTGAGATGATTTGTTCGGTACCACTTTGAAGTTGGTGCAACCAGCAGTTTAGGAGGAGCTGTGTTACACACAGACACCGAATTTTATTATATAGATAATTGATATGTTTTTAAGATAAATGATGCTATTAGAGCTAGGTAATTACAGTATAATCGATTGCCTATGATCATCGACTACATCAATTTGTGGCATGTAAAATAATCAATTAACCAAACTTACAATTAAATTAATTAATGTCATGGAAATATTCAACTAATATTTATGATTATCGCTATGTTTTTGTTTATTCCAACCGTCCGATAACCGAAATTAATGACATGAAAATAATCCACTAATTTAAATTTGTTTCCAACTGTTTTAGATTATTCTAACTATCCATAATTGAAATATTGCCATTATGATTCCTTCTTCTGATTTTTCATAGATTCAAGTTTCTTCAGCTTAATTGATTAGCATCATGACTCATGAAAATGATCAGATAATTGAAATAACGGTTTTTAATTGTACAGTTAATCAAAATATTGCCATTATGTTTGGTTGGTGTTAAGTACAAAGCTACACAATAGGCTATCTGTTACCCACTGCAGGTATTGAAACCCAATTCCATGACAATAACGTGTTGAGAATGACAAAGTGTACGTGCTACTTCTAGTTTATTTAGTTTAATTTTGCTTGAGAAATAATTATATAAGTAATAGTATTAATAATAGTAAAGCATCAGTGCTTGAGATGAGGGGTATAATAAACCCCCACTTCTAAAAATCAAAGCTATCCATACCACGATTATTTCTTCTTATGAAGTGCATCCTGGGATTTGTGAGACCTGTCTCACTCCTACTTATTTTGTCCCATTTTGAGCACTGTGAATTATACAATCTTATTTGTAGTGTTTGTTTTTTTCATTAAAAATGTCTGATAATAATGGTAATTAATAACAAAGATAATTTCTTGTTTGTTTATTACAAATAGATGGTAGTGGTGGAAAAGCATAAATATTATAATTTGGGTAGTTTTGATCTTCTTGGATAATGTGATGATGATAAATCCTGATATTTATATGGGGGCTTAGTTTTTTTTTAAGTGACTTTATTATAGATACTAAGTTTCCTAGAAATGTGTTAATAGAGATTTGATATATTTATATATTGCTAGCCTTATGAATAGTTATTTTGCAACATTACTATTTTTTTTATGAGTGTTTATATCTCTTAAAAGCTACTAGTACGGAAGCCAGAGACTGAAAGCTCAAAATTTCAAGGTTTGTCAAGTAGACTTGCTATGGATACCAAAGGCTTAGTCATACAGGTAAGGTTATGGATACTGATTATTTGAGTTGTTTTAAACACATGGGTGTTTGAATAGGATTGTTTGTTTCGTATACAAGTTAAGTTTTTTTTATAGAATTACATATATATTCAAAGGAGGGGTAATTGTTTCACAGCTGATTTGTAAAAAAAGTAAAGCAGGTTGTTACACAGTTATGTTACAGTAAAGCAGGTTGTTACACAGTTACGTTAGAGTAAAGCAGGTTGTTACACGGTTACGTTAGAGTAAAGCAGGTTGTTACACGGTTACGTTAGAGTAAAGCAGGTTGTTACACGGTTACGTTAGAGTAAAGCAGGTTGTTACACAGTTACGTTAGAGTAAAGCAGGTTGTTACACAGTTACGTTAGAGTAAAGCAGGTTGTTACACGGTTACGTTAGAGTAAAGCGGGTTGTTACACGGTTACGTTAGAGTAAAGCGGGTTGTTACACGGTTACGTTAGAGTAAAGCAGGTTGTTACACAGTTACGTTAGAGTAAAGCAGGTTGTTACACGGTTACATTAGAGTAAAGCAGGTTGTTACACGGTTACGTTAGAGTAAAGCAGGTTGTTACACGGTTACGTTAGAGTAAAGCGGGTTGTTACACGGTTACGTTAGAGTAAAGCAGGTTGTTACACGGTTACGTTAGAGTAAAGCAGGTTGTTACACGGTTACGTTAGAGTAAAGCGGGTTGTTACACGGTTACGTTAGAGTAAAGCAGGTTGTTACACGGTTACGTTAGAGTAAAGCAGGTTGTTACACGGTTACGTTAGAGTAAAGCAGGTTGTTACAC